CCGATCTAATATTTAACCTATATATCGCTGTTCCTTAAGGAATAATTAAATAATATACGCGCGGCTCTAATAAATAATATACCTAGGATAAAGGGGACTAAGACTCTATCTAGCGTAATATAAAGATAGATTAGTATCTAGGCCGTGCTTAGATAGAGATTAGTCTCTACCTCCCTAACTATATCTATAAGGGACCTAGTATACGCCGTCGTTAATACTCTTATTAGTAGGATTTTAAGCCTATATATATTTACGTATCTTTTAGTAATAAGGTTTCCTTTAAACCTAGTATCGATTAAGGCGCTTAGAACTTTAGCTTTCTAGCTACTAAGCTATACTTAAATATAGGGTAGGTCTTATATATACTTAAGTAAGCGGAAAGGTATAAGGACTATATTTATATATATTATAGGAATCGCTATAAGGTCCTTTAAAGTCGTTTCCTAGTATCTTATTAAGAGTGCTACTTCTTATATAATAAATTTATCTTTCTTTAATCTTATTACCTTTAGAGTTTATTAATTAAATAGTCCTTAGGCTAGTTATATTACGTTAATCGTATTAGTTATAAACCTAACTTCCTTTAGTACTTATTAGACTTCGAGGCACTTATAATCCGATTTTTTATAAGTAAGGTAAGTAAGCTTAATCGGTTTAACCTAGTATTCTTTATCTTATTCTTTAACTTATACTAAAGCTACCGCGAGTTTTCCTTATAGATATTTAAGGAAGAGTAAACTACTCTCTATATTATCTTTAGCTACTTTCGTAACTATTATCGTAGCTCTATAATGTCTTATATTACTCTCTACTTTCTCTAAGGTCTAGAATTTAGTAATTTCTATACCTTAGGCTATATTTATATATCTCGTGCTAAGTCTCTCGCTTAGTTAGGGAATAAAGTTAATTAAGTAATTTAAAGGGATTAGGATTCTTTTATATATAATTTCTCTAACGATTTTATCTATAAGTCTATTAAACTTCTTATTTAGATCTACTTTATATCTATAGTATATAGGGATAATCTTTAGGCTAGTTTTTACTATTCTCGTTATCTCGATTTCCTTTACGTTCTCTTTAACTCTTTATCTTTTCCCCTTATAAGTATTAATCTCTATTATAGTTATATAGATTATCTAATTATATATATCGCTTTATTATATATTATCTATAATTATAATAACTAATATCTTACTTACTTCTTTTCTTATATCGCTTACTTTTAGATTCCTTATCTTCTACTTATATAGGCTTCTATATCTTTAAAACTAGTCTAAGAAACCGGATTCTCTTTTACTAGTAGCTTAATTTAAGTAAGATAGTATAACTATAGCTTTAACCTATTTTATAAGTAGTAATATAAAAGAGTCTAGCTATATATCTACCTAGTATATAATAAGCCTTTAAAAATATATACTTATTTAAGAAAACCTATTAATTAGTATTAAGGGAATTACGCTTTTATTATCTTTTCTTTTAAGGTAAAGAGTCCTATTTATTACTTTATATATTATAAATCCGATCTTATAGTCTTAAGAGTATACCTTATACTTATTAAGGTAGTATCCTTCTTTACCGTAATAGAAGTATCTCTTAGGCCGGTTAAAAGTATTAACTTAAAACTATATATATTAATTAAATAGGTAGTAAAATCTAATAGTATTTACGCTACCTCCTTATTTATAACTTAAAGAGTAGCCTCTACTACTAATACGTCTTTATTCCCTATTAAGCTAGTTAAATATCTACTCTTACTAGTAGGTAAGGTTAATCTTTATATCTTTAAAGGCTTTTATTAGGTCTAAGATCTCTTTTATAGGCTATCTAGGTTTCTTATTTATTTTCTTTAATTTTTTAGGAAGTTTTTCTTCGCCCTTATTAGATTTAGCTTCCTTTATTACTTTATTAATTTCCCTAAAGAGCTAGTCTTTCTTTAGGTTCTTAAGCTTCTAATTATAGACTTTAGATACTATATCTCGTCGCTTAACGTCCTAGCGAGGTGCTAAGTAGTTATTAATTATATAGATAAGGCTTTTATATAGGAGTTTTAAGATAACTTTAGATATCTTCCCGTTTCTCTCTATAACGTTAATAATAAGCTCCTTTAGTATTATATAGTAAATAAAGTATAACTAAACTATAGATTCTTCCTAGCTATTAGGTTATACCTTACGCTATAGGTATAAGTAGAGACTAAGCTATTCTATTACTTTTATAATAGTCTTAGGCTTTTTAGTATTATAATAGTCTAAGCGGTCGTTAGTAGTTTCTAGTTATTTAATATTATATATATAGTAGTATTAAAGGAGTCTCTTCTTTACTTCTTCTTAAGTAAATCCGTCTATAAGAATTTTAATAGTAAGGGCTTATATAAAGGAGATATAGACTTTAAGCTAGTCTATTTTATCCTCGTTATAGATACGGTTAACGCGTATCTCTTATTCGAACTTCTTAAAGAATTTAGTTACGTTTTTACTATTAAATTTACTAATAGGTAAGAGTTAAGGTTAGTAAAGTCTTCCTATAAGGTTATCTTAGCTTCTAGTAAGTATATCTCTAAGTTTATTAGTAATCTTATTAATATCTACCTTAATTTTCTTTATATCGCTAGTAGTAGGATTAGATAATCCCTCTTAACGGCTAGCGTTTCTAGATATAGTATACTTATAGATTATAAGGTTATGAAATTTAAAGTTAGAGTTTTCGAAGTTAAAGGATATCTTATTATAACTATCTTATTACTTACTTTCTTATCTATTAGTAGGAGGTAGGCGTTCTCTATAAGCTACTATATAAAGGAGAGCTAAGGTTAAGGTTATTAAGGTATCCCTTATTAGTACTTATATTAGTATTATTAGTACGTATATAAGTAAGAGGTCTTAGTAGGGTTCTAGAATAGTTTAGATTACGCTATCGTCGTTATTTATATCTTTTAAAGCATTATATAAGGATTATAGTTTTTTAACTAAGTCGCTAGTATTAAGGGTCGTAGGGCTAATAATAGGAGCTCGGGGTTTTTTAGTATTAGCTTATTACTTTTCCTTTACTACTAGTAAAGGTATTATCTAATTATTTATTTCCTAGTAAGTCTATTACCTTATTAGGTCCCTAACTCTATCTATTAAGGTAGTTACTGCTTTAATTATTAAATCTGTCGGGAGGTCTGTACTGCAGTAACGCAATGGGTTGTATTCAAGATGTCTTGCTAGGAAGGGAGGAAAGGGAATGAGGGGGCACACTACGTGCCCTTTATACACGGATCCCCGAGGTCCATACACGTGACGCTAAGGGTCACGTGTGCGTGTGCGCACCTCCTTACAATCCTACTATAGCTATATGCTACATTCCCACACTGGCAAATCTTCTTTATCGCTGCAATCGCAGCAGTAGCAGCAGGTGCGGGAGCGTAGCAGCAACCGCGGGTGCGACCGCAAGGGTGCGAAAAGAGTGACGGTTCGAGCGGCAGCTAGCGGGGAGGGCGTTCGACTGATCCTTCTATCCTAATCGTAAGGCTATTCGTATCGACGAGGCGTTCGAGGGCGCGGTTAGGCGATGCCTTTGTCATAGCATCTGCTGGGTTGTCTGCGCCGTTAATCCAGCGGATTTCGTGATCTCACGCCTTTCGTAGGATTGACGTAGGGCCATGATATCTATCATCAATCGCTTCTCCTTCGTTGTGCCTAGCTTAACGAGGCACTCGTAGAGGGAAAAGAGTCGGTGCAAACGATTAGGGATAGGGGAAGATTGAGGCGGTCTGTGATCTTCCGTATCGTCGTTGCTAGTGATATCCCAATATCGAATCCGTTGACCATGCCGTAGATCTCTGATGCTAGCACGCTTCGGGTGACCTCTTACACTTCGTTGAGCTCCAATGGAGGACATTGCCTTGATCCCGAATTGGTCTTTGGTACGTGCGGTCTCGGTCTCATTGACTAGGGCAATGACGAAGCCTAGCTGTGACGATAGGTCCTTATTGTTCGCAAAGGAACCGTCGGTAAAGACGATAAGCTTGGCATTGGCGAGGTCAATAGGGATATACGTTAGGCCTCGCTGCTGGTGGTCTTTCTGCCATTGAAGCCGCTTGTTGAGGGTCGTGCAATCCTCTTCCGTAGGGTTTGGACCTGGGCAGCAATAGAGATGTCGAATGAGGCCTCTGGTTGACAGATTGAAGCCACATACGCGCCACGGGCACGCTGTTCCACGTACTGTTGGGCTCGATCGTATGCCTTGATGTCGATGGGTTCGATCTTGGCTGCTTGACCCTTTGTTGAAGCAGTAGAGCGTTGTGGAAAGTGGTGTCTTGGAGGGTTATCTTTGCACCGTTGAAGTCAATGCTAGTACCGGGGTCATCGTTGTCTTCGGCTTTGCCCGAAATTGTGCCTTTACGAGTTCCGCTTCCTCTAGCGCGGAAAAACGTTGTGTGCCAAGCATAAGGGTATCGTCAGTCTGCATTCCCACAATCCCAAAGTTATCAGGTCCCTTATTCGTAATTAGGAAGCATAGGTCGTAGGTTGATGTGGACATGTCGAGGTTATCGACATGATGCCCGTGATAGGTTCGAAACCAATGGACTCCGGCCTCCGCAATTCCGTATAGGGCTTAATAACGCGAATGATTGTTCCTTCCGGTATCTTCCTTCTAATTCGGCGGGAAGATGCGTGAGAATGGTGCGGAATAGTTCGGTCTGCGCCTGGGGATACGCTTGTGTGATGTCACGAAGAGGGTCATGCCGTGAGAAAGGAGGTCTGGGGAGATAGCAGAAATAAGCCGTTGACTGACGCGTTGAATTGTCGGGGATTGCGTCAATAGGTGGTTTTCTTGGTCGTTGTGCCCTTGGACCACGAGCCTTGACTTCTCGTATGGTTTGGTTTCTTTGCCTTTAACCTCGCGGACCATGCGGGAGCGGAAGATATGATGGTTCCCGTGCTTTGCTTCATTGTAGCGTTCGAAGCTAAACACCTCGTACCAATAGATCATCGATCTCCGTGCTATCGGATTCCTCAAAGGGTGCCTGGCGTTGTGATAATGCCTTCGTCCCGTAGCTTGATGGCTAGTTGGTAGGCATCTTCTTCCTTCTTGACTAGGAACGTCGTCTTTGGCTTGTTCTTCGAACCAGGGGCGGCCTCGCTTGCGCGGCGCCGGGGATTAGGAGCAGGAACAGGGGCAGGGGCAGGCAGAAACAGGAACAGAATCGCTCGCAGGATCAGAAACAGGAATGTCAGAATTATCCGCAGCAGCAGCGGGGCAGGGATCGTCGTCTCGTCGCGGAAATAAGGCTGCACAAGGGTGGAACGGAAGGTCTGGGGTCCGTTGATAGTATCAATTGTGACATTGGAGCCATCAATTGCACTAATCTTAAAAGGGCCTTGCCAGCCGAGCTTTTCTCTCCACACTCGGACCTCGCTTTGCAGTGGGAGCGATAGTATAACGCCTGTTGATGATGGTCCGTTCTTTGTGTGTAAGGCGCCCTGCACTTGCCGCTCTGCTGAGAGCTGACGAAGCATTTTCATCGCTTTCTGGGCTGCGGCAGCCCTTTCAGGTCGTAGCAGAAGGGGCGAATCTAACGCCATTCGAGGGTAGGCGCCAAAGACTAGGAGCGTAGGGACAATGCCATTTGGCCCTGTTGTGTCGTTGATGGCTTTGATAGCCATTTGAAGGATCGATTCGGGGATGTGAAGGTCCCGATTTCTGCGTGGAGGATCTCAAACGCACGGCGGAGAGGGGCATGATATCTTTCAACCTTTCCAACGGACCAATGTGCTTCCACAGGACTTGCTTGCAGGTTATCCCCATAAGCTTTGCCTCGTTACGGAACTCTAGGGAGGCAAAATTGGTCCCTGCGTCGTGCTTGATAGTATCAGGGGGTCCGAGATATGTGTCTATCCAGAGGGCTCGGAGGGCTTCCCACGTATCCTTTGCTGACATCGATAGGAGGAACCTGGCTGCTTGGAACGCTGTTGCTGTATCTACCACGTGCAAGACGGGGCGTTGAGGGGTTCCAAGGTAGAGCACATCAGCGACGATTTCGTAGTTGAATTCCTGGTCATCCTTTAGGGTGAATTTGAAGCGTCTTGGAGCTTGAGAGTGCATTTGACAGTGATGACAGAATCTCGAGATGTTCTCTAGATATCTATCGTCACATCGTTGTGGCCAGCTTGCCGTAGGAGGTTGTGAAGTCTTGGGACCGCTGGGTGCCCGAATCGACGATGAAGAGTGCGGATCTCGCTCTCCGTGAGGAATGCGATAGCGGCCTCGTTGGTCTTAGGTAGGAGGAACCAAGGATGTCCCCATTTGCGGATAACCGGGAGGGTTGTTCGTCCGACAATAGTGTCTGTAAGGTTGTTGAAATAGATGCCTAGGCGATCCATATCAGCGAGAGAGGAGGAAGGGAGTAGGGGTCTTGAGGATATGGAATGTGATCCTTCCGAGAGGTGTTTTAAGGGCGATAGAGCCGAGGATAGAATGGCTTCGCCGTTGCCGAATTTGATAGAAGCTTGGCCTGCTGTAGTCTTATCGAGCGTTATAGCAGGGTCTGCTCGTTGTAGAGCGATGCATTGGTCGTAGCCAGCTGTGGAAACCTTCGCGGCGCCTGTGTCAATTATGATGCCCTGGAATCGGAGTCTTGAGTAGCGCTCCTCTATCATGAATTGGGAAGCAGGTGTAGCGTTGTTTTGAGAGGTGCTATACACGTCTTCCCCTGTGATCAGATGGTTGAAGGCTTGCTGGCAGAGCATTTGGCTTGTGTGCCACTGTTCTGGGTTGTTGTCATTATCTTCATTGTCGTCCTCGTCCCAGGGTCGTTAGCATCATCGTGGGCATCCATCTCGTGACCTTCAAAGTCAAGAACGTAGGCTGTAAGGTCCTGGGAGGGGTAATCCATGAAGTGACAGTGGGCGACGTATTGGTCTCGGATCTTTGACGTTCCTCGGCAGTGTGCTTTGTAGACCAACATCCTTCCTTATTGCAGACGAAGCACTTCTTATTACACGGGTGGTTGTGGCCGTAACGGCCTTGTGGGCGGTTAAAGCGTTGACTATTGAAGATTCCCCGTGGAGCGTTGTAGCTGCCTCGTTGAGCGTTGCTCTATACCTTCTATACCCCTTCTGACCAAATCTTCCGCGATTGTTGTTGTATCTTCGATCGAGATAGTAGTGGTCATTGGGATCCATATGATCAGATGGTTCCTCGAGGTCTTGATGGTATTGAGGGCCTCCTTGAAGATAACGAGGCGCTATTCCGCGTGCAAGATGGGTCTCAACGGAAGAGCGAAGATCTGCAAAGGGGCTCGATTCCTTCGGCGGGCTTGAATAAAGCGTATTCAAGTTCAGGAACACCGCGGCATGCATTAATAAGCGTTGTACGCAGTGGAACGTTTCCTGCATACGCGTTGCCAAGAGCTCGTTGGCATAACTGTAGCTTATCAAGGAGTAGCTGAAGAACCTCGTGTAGGGATTTCGTAGCATTATCGGCACGGAGCTTGTTAAAGGAAATAGTCGTCCATTCAGTATAGTAGTGAACGTGGTTAACTTCCGTATCGAAATGTTGCTTGATGCTATCGTATGCCTTGCGGAACGTTGAGGTCCAGTTAACGTGGTCAATGTAGTACGTTTGGGCTCGGCCAGTAAGGATTCGAGGAAAAGAGCGTGGAATTGGTCCGGCTTGACCTGAATGTTATAACAGATACTCATAAAGATGCGTAGCTTATCATCGAGAAGGTCAGGGTTCCCCGTATAGTTCTTCTCTTTGTCCCAGATCTTGGTGAATTTCTGTTGTGTGTCGGCATCGACGATGCCGTTCGGGATGTCGGCCGGGGAAGCGTTGTGTACGCTTCGAGGATGTGGGAGAAGAGGGTTCTGCTAGAACGATGCTCTGTTGCTGGAACTGATAGCTTGTAGGATGTATTGTTCGTTGGGAAGCGTAGCAGTCGTTGTGGGCGGTTCCGCAATTGTCGTAGCGGGAGGAGCAGGGAGCGTCGGAATAGGGGCTAACGGCATGGATGGCTCCGCCGTGTTGGAGGTGGGAGGGTTCTGCGTTAGTCGTCTCTCTTTCTTGTATAGGCCTCCGTTCCTTTATCGAATTGGGTTACCATGAATTCGTTGTCGGGCCAGGCTGGTGGGTTATCGATCGTCTGTAGGAAGACGAGCTGTGGGATGATGTGGTCACCCTTTTCTCCTGTATAGATACCACGTCTCTTTAAAAGGTAACGTAGCTCCTTCGAAATTCCTTTGGCATCTTTCTCCACGTTGCCTCGGTCCACTGTTGGAAGTGATCCTGGAAGAATTCAAGGATATTAGTGCCATGAAGGTGTACGTTCTCCTCGCATTCTGACATAAATCGTGCGGTATATGTCATAACAGCTATTCTATCTTCCTCTTGTGGCGTGATCTCATCCTCCCATCGGGTCGGATCGATATCCTGATATTGGGTCTTTGGGATCGTGATTTTGGACCAATTCCTTACTTGGTCGAGGAAGGCGTCGTTCCTCGTAGAGGCGGGGTTCGGGGTTGGGGTCGTGCTTGTCATTGTGAGGGCGAATCGTGAGGGCTGTCACGTAGTTGTCGAATCGGCGTTGTGGACGCACTTACACTTAATGTAACCGTTAAGTGAAGTTGGAAGGATCTATCAATGGCCTACCGGGAGCTAGTTGGTTGCCGGGTCCGTAATCGTAGAGTCCTTGATCTTAGCATAGAAACCTCCTCTAGGTCCAACCAGGCAATATCGCTAGGAATATGGTAGTTGGGCTTTCGAAGGTTGCGTTCTATCTCTTCTTCCTTGCCAATCTGTGATCGACCAAATCGATCACTGATCAGTGTCGGGAGGTCTGTACTGCAGTAACGCAATGGGTTGTATTCAAGATGTCTTGCTAGGAAGGGAGGAAAGGGAATGAGGGGGCACACTACGTGCCCTTTATACACGGATCCCCGAGGTCCATACACGTGACGCTAAGGGTCACGTGTGCGTGTGTGCGCACCTCCCTTACAATCCTACTATAGCTATATGCTACATTCCCACAAAATCCCTAGATTTTAATTTTTCTAAATAGTACCGTCGTCCTTTAAATATTCTCGGCTTTATAAAGCTACTTATCGCCGTATAAATAGAACGGAATAATAAGTTTACGCCCTAGAAACTAGTTTTAATAAGGATAAGGGTATATACCTAAAGCACGTATAGTATATAGCTAAGGATTAGTAAAGTAATTAACTATATAATTATTTAATTATCGGTCTTATATATAGCTCTAAGGGCCTTAGGTTATAAATATAAGTCTTAGAGATTTTCTTTACTCTATGCCTCTTTAACTATACTAGAGTCGCGTAAAAAGCGGCATCTACTTTAAAGGGGAAAAATAAAATTTAAATTAACTATAATTAAGGAAGATACCTAATTAGATAATCGAGGTCTTTATAACGCCTTTAAGTATACTTAGAAGTAAGTTAAAAGGGGAGTGCTAGGGGTCTTATCCCTTTAATAGGCTAATATTTATAGGGGTACGATCTTACCCGTTAAACTACTAATATCCTTTTAACTACTAAGCTTTTTGCCGGCTTTTCCCCTCTTTTCTAGCCGTTACTAGTATATCCGTCTTATCTTTCGCTACCTTTATAAGAAGCTATCGCTACTTCTACTTACCCTCTTACCCCTACCCTCCTCTCTATACCTCCTTTTAGCTCCTTCCTTAAAACCTATTTTTTAGCTTCCTAGGTCTCTTATACTAAGGGATATCTCTAAGAACTATAAAATCAAGCTACGCTTCGCGATAACTATTACTTAAGGTAGCTAATAATTACTAGTATCTCCTTATCGTAAATAGCGTAATTCTACTTTACTAAGGTTAGCTTATAAAAGTAGAACGCTACTAGTTACTGCCGCCTATCTACTTTTTAAGAGAGCGTTCCTCTAAGTGCCTAGCTACTATAGTTTACTTTAACTAACGTAGACTAGTCGAAGTCCTACTAAAGTAATACTAAGGCTTACGAGAATAGGTCCTTAAGCGTATAGAACGCTCCTTCCTATATAGGCCCTTAATAAAAAGCGGTCTACTTCCTAGTAATCTCGTTTAAGGGTATTATAATATAAGAGAAGCCCTTAATAAATATCCTATAATAGTTCGCGAGCCTAAGGAAGCTCTATATACCTATTTATATAGTTAAGGCTACTTAATCCTAAATCGCCTAGATCTTTATAAGATCCGCTTATATACTTATACTTATATAGATAATAAAGCCTAGATACTTAACCCTCTTAACCCTAAATTTATACTTATCTAGGTTAAGGTAGAGCCTATAAAGTTAAAAGCGCTCTAGGACCCTCTATACTTTCCTTATATAGTCCTTATAAAAGCTACTTATATAAATAAGGATATTATCTATATATATAGAGGCGAACTTATTAAGGAAGTCTTAAAGTATATTATTAATATAATACTAAAAGGTAGTAGGTGCTCTTAAGAGGCTAAAGGGCGATATAAGCTACTTAAATAAGCTATAGCGTATATAGAACGCTGTCTTTTACTTATTACCCTCTAAGATCTATACCTTATAGAACGCTTATTTTATATCTAGCTTTATAAACTACTTTACCTTTAAGAGGTTATAGAGTATATCTAAGATTAAAGGTAAGGGGTAGCGGTCTAGCCTTTTTTTTTATTATTACTTATATATAGCCTCTAGGGCTATAGCGAGGCTAGTAAGGGCCTAGGCCCCTATTAGTAGTCCTAGCTAGCTATAGAGCCCGGGGGCTTATAACTAATTAGGGAAAGGGTAGCTATTGTGACGACCGGTGATATTCCCAAGGGATAAACCTGTCGTGGGGTTTATGTTGGCAGATACAACAGGGCGTGGTCTGAGCAATGATAAGTATGTCACGTTGGTGATGAGTCGGAGGTCGTAGACCGTAGACTGTAACCAGGTAATCAAGTGATCGGAATCAGAGATGAGATCGTGATAGGGATCGTAATGATTGTGTTGAAAGCCAAAGAGCTATCTAGTCTAAAGGAGTGGAATTGGGTGTCCTTATATACCCAGTGGTCCTTCGTGGATCATTCAGCGAACGTGATAATCCTGTTCACGGATCGTTGGATCATTGAGACGATCCAATGATCCTGTATATCGTCGTTGGATCATCGAGATGATCCAATGAGCCGGATCGTTGGGATCACCAAGTGATCCAAATGATCCATCACGTGACTTCGCGGGATCCTGTACCCCTCCGTCACGTGTCGGCCTTGTTGAGGGCTGCTTGTGACCAACCGTTGGTCGGGTCGTAACAGCTATAAAGGCAATAATAAAGGAAAGGTTAGTTTAGTTCCTCCCGCGCGGTGATTTCCCCCCCTAAGGGCCCTAGGGCCCCTAGGTTACTCCTTTTTAAGCTACTTAGCTATCCCTATCTCTATTTTAGCTAAGAAGGTTAGAAGGGCTTCCCTTCCTTCCTTAGAGCTATAGAGAATAGGTAGGCTAAGGGCCCCCTTCTATCTTTTAGAGGTCCGGTAAAGGACCTCTCTTTCCCTCCTATAGTTCGGGCACCTTAGGATAAGGTGCCTAGCCGTATGCCTTCCTTAGCCGTAGCGGTAGTCGTCTCGGTCTACCTTATTAGTCCTTTTTAAGAAGGAAGATAAGAAGCTAGCCCTAAAGAGGAGCTAGTAAAAAGCTAAGAGGGTCGGCCTAGGCCTCCCTATAAGGTCCTTTTCTAGGCTAAGGGCTAGGCGGGGGGTCTTTCGAATAAACATATAGTGCTTACCTAGGCCCTTAGCCCTAAGGCCTTTAGCTGCCTCGGTAGCCTAAGCGGTCTAGCCTTATAATTACGTTTAAAGCCCTATAGTTATAATAGAACTATATCCCGCCCCTTAGTTTACGTATAAATAGGACTAGCGCTCTTACCTTAGAGCTACTTACTTAAATAAAACCCTTATTTAAGAGGTCCCTTAGCGTCTTCTTTAGTATAAGTAGCTCTACGTATAATATACTATATAGCGGTCTAAACGGTATAGGTAGTTCCTACCCCTTCTTATTAATATAAAGTACGATCTTATAGTCTACCCTTAGCTTATATAGGTTAAGCTTATCTACTTCCTAGGACTTAAATAGCGGTAAGAGGTTATAAAAGTACTTTAGTATCTATTACTATAGCTTAAAGGGCGACTTTAGCTTTTTTATTTAAAGGGCCTTATTAATATTTACTAAGCTAATTATATAGACCGCTATATTAGCCGCTACTTAGCCTTCCTTCCGCTTTACTTATTATATAGTTCTTATAAAGATAGAGGTAAGGACTTCTTAGGCTAAGTATAAAGCTTATATACTTAATTTAATACTTATAGAACTATCGTTATAGTAGACCTACTATTATATAGGCCTAAACTATAGCTTCTTTTAGTATAAAACTAAGTATAACTCTATATATAATAACTAGGGTTTCCTAAAGATTAAGGGAAACTCTAGTTAAGGGATTATATAAGCTACGATAAGCTTATAGTAACCGTCGACTTCTATAGCTAGCTATATAATACCCTTAATTACTATACTTTCTATCGCACTTAAGGCGCCCTTTACTTACCTTAAGGCGATCTTTTTTACTAGTACTTATATCTCTTATATAAGCGCCTTATTAACTATAGTATAGTACTAATAGCCCTTATCTATAAAGGTAGCGATAGGTAAGGAGTTATTAATTATAACTTATATTAAAGTAAGCTCCTCTTTTATATAAGCGGATAATTCTTCTTTCTCCTTTACTAGTACTAGTAATTAAAGCTCTAGAGCCTATCTTTACTTTAGAGCTACTCTTTTTCCTCTAGGCCTAAGGGCGCGGAGTCCTCTTTATTATATAAGGTAAGAAGCGGCTCTATCTTTACCGCTTAAACTACTATAAGCCGTTTAGCTAAAAGGAAGGGGCATTTTAATATAAAGTATATAAACGCGCTATAATATAAGTAGCGGCTATTAGCCTTTCTTTTTTTAATTTCCTTACTTATTACCTACTTTACTTACTACTTAAAGTATAGGATAGTATAAGGGATATTCGATAATAACTTCCTACTACGTTTAGCTTAGTCTATATAAGTAGCTAATATTAAGGTATCCTTATTAGTATTAATAGTTAGCTATTCCTTTTATAAAGAGGTAGTAATCCTATTACCGCTATATAGTATACGCTTATAAAGCTTTTAAAAACGCGGTATCTACTTATAGCCCTATACTACCTTTATTAACTAGCTTATATACTCGCTATAGTTAGTAAGTATAATTATAGGGATAAGTAGCTCTTATAGAGCTAGCGTAATTAAGTTTTATAGCTATATAAGCTTCGCGCTATCTTCTTATACTATAGTTCCCGCTACTTATAAGAGCGTCTCTTTAAAGTTAGAGAGGAATTCGCTAAAGGTCTACCTATCTCTTTACCTAAGGGTCTATAGCCTATCTTACGCCTTCTCCCGCTCCTATATATTACCGAACGTATATATAAAGTATTAAAAGAAGTCCTATAGGTCGCGTCTACCCCTAAGGCCGCCCTTATCTTAGAATCTAGAGATCCGCTATATCTAAGGCTCTAGTAATATATAAAGGAGTAAATACTACGCTATATCGTAATAGCCGTTTAGGCCCTATTTCTTATCTATTATAAACTTTATCTATAGCTAGCTAAGGAAAAAGTAAAAGGACTTAAGCTTACTATCCTAAGTCGGCTAAGGAAGTAGCTTTTATATTAATAGTACTACCGCTATAACTAGTATTATAGAGGTTATAGGGGTTAACGCTAGTCTTATAGACGGCTCCCTTAGTATAGCGAGAACCTTATTCTTCTTACTAGCTATCGCGCTTTTAATCGCTTCTAGGATAACTACGATACTTCCTATCCGCCTAAGGGGTAGCGGGGTGCTCCCTTAAGGAAGCGGCACCCTTTCTAGGGAGATATCTATTAGATCTATATAAGGAACGGTGTTCCTACTATAAATAAAGCAGCTATAATATACTCTCTTAATTATATAAGCTAATAAGTAGTATATTAATTATAGATAAAATCCTATATTATAGAGTAAGAATCGCTTATTATTTTATATAGTATTATATATTAAACGGGTTACTAGTTATTATATAATTAGGAATCGAAGAAATAGAGCTAGCTTAGAATACTAGCTAAGACCTCTTAAGAATACCGGCACGACTAACCTCCTTTAAATATAAATATTAGTAGAACTAAGACACTTCTTAATATTCTCGAGGTATTACTAAATTCCTTAGTCTTAGGGCTATACGGCAGCCTAAATCTAGTCCTAAAAGGTTCTTCTATTTAGCTATAACTATCTATATAAAATAGTATGTCCGCTAGTAGATAGATAGAGGATAATTAACTTAAACACCTCTTCTATATACTAATATATTACTAATAAATTCTATTAAAAATCCTACCTTATACTCCTTCTTCCCCTCTATTATATAGTCTTACGTAATTCCTTAATTTCCTAAAATTCCGCTTTTGCTTATATACCTTAAGAATCTATTAGTTAATAGCTTATACTATTACGGAGTAGGTAGAGGCGTATATATAAGTACTATTTATAGGATAATATTAATAAGCTATATAGAGCTCTTCTATACGCGGCTAGCCTATATATATATATATAGGATCCGGCCCTCTATATATAACTTATATAGCTTAAGCTATAGCTTAAGCCTATAACTTATAATAGTTAAAGACTCTTATAGACTTAGCGGAATCTTTATTATTATAGGCGGTAATTATAGTAGAAGTTTCGGGAGAAAGTCGCGGTCTCTTAGTAAGGGTTTAGTAGGGATCGGGTAATAACCGACTTAATATTAATATAAGCGGATCGACTAAGCTAGATATAAGTAGCGTAAGGGAGGCAGGGCTTTAAGCGGCCTTATACTTTTTAGTAGACGTAAACCTAGCTAACGTAACGCTATAGTCTAAGGGATTACCGACTATACCCTTAGGTATTATTAGTAGTAGTTATATTATAGAAGCTTAGTTAGATATAGCCTTATCGAGGAAAGTCTATATATCTAGGACGATAATAAAAATATACTCTTAGTCGAAGGCTAGGGTATATATTATATTCTAGTAATATAGTAAGCCGGCGATTTTACCTATATAAGTAAAGAGAGCGTTTAGCTAGAATTAGCTATTAGGCCTCTTAGTTATCTTCTTATATAGGGAGGTCTAAGGATTAGCGTAAATAGGGAAGATAATAAAAACTTAAAAGGGATAAAAGCCCTTAAAAGGTATTTTACTAGGAATCTTAGGATAAATAAAGGTAGAGAGCTAGATAAAGCTATAGTACCTTAGCTAGGTATCGTTAAGGGCCGTAGCTAAGTTTATATATAGGCCGTAGCTAAGTTTATATATAGGAGGTCGCGGCCGGAACCGATAATAAGTCCTATAAAGGAAATAATAGGTTATATCGTTAGGAAAGCATCTACTAAGCTAAGGGTATAAGGGACGACTCTATAGATATCGTTAAGGAGGGTAGTAGCGATAGAGAGGTTTAGAGTATAGACTTACGGTTAGTAGCTATAATCGCGGACGATAAGCGCGGGAACCGTATATTCTATAATATTGCTATTATCCGACTTTAAGCTATTACGCTGCTCGATTTCCTACGTTAGGGCAAAGGGATAAATACGGCCGACTATAAAGAACTATTACTTAGTCTATTTAGAAGGGATTATCTATTAGTTATATATAGAAATATTAAGGCTAAAGAAGATATAGGTCGATAGACTATTAGTATCTAACCGGATTACTACGTACTCTAGAGTCGATAGCTATAAGGGCGTCGGAAGGAAGACCCTAGCTAGGGTTTCTACGTTGAGCCCCTTAATATAATGCTTATCCTAATAGGCGAACCTAGACGGGCAGCCGGGCTAGATAAAGACCATTATTAACATGTCGGCACCACTAATTTTCTGGCTGTCGAGAGGTTGCCGTAGCGAGGATAAAGTATCGGCATTAAGCTAGGAGGCCGACATCGTTAGAGCATGGCAGGATGCAGTCACCTAAGGAAGTATAATAGAGGGGAAACTATAGAGCAGAGGCAGGCATCTTATAAGGCTAGTTATCTTATCGGTCGATAGAGGGTTCGTGGCTAGGGTCTAGGAACCCTAAGGGTCAGTGAATCATATAAAAACAGTTAATTCAAATAGTCACTTACACTATTATCTGCGAGAGTGTTCACTCTAACTTTGCCTAGCAAAATAACATAATAGTAGACGAGCGCAAAAATAGATAGGGCGTAGCACTAGTATTCAACCCTTTTTACTATTATCTAGAGAGACACTAATCCGCCCCCCCCCCTTGTCTATCATGACTTGTCGGGTTTGAATGACCGTATCAGCCTTAGTTTATTGGTCACATCCAGCTTGCCATTAGCTATGTGCACGTTGAGCGCCGGAGCTCACGGTCCCATCGACCGCACTATGCATAGCGCACTATTAGGTTGATCGACGAACTGCTCGGCACCGACGCACGTCGGATAGTAAAACAAATAGTCGGGATCATACTTGTTCTTAACAGCTAGGTGAGTCTGGTAGTTAGCCCCGTAAAAGGTATTCCTGTAGTCGGGGTCGCTAGCATCGCCCTCGTTTATGTATCCTCCCGTGTTAGGGGCGAGCTGCTTGGTGGCGTTGCCCTTAATAAAGGTGATGTCGTCGGCGATGGCCTTGCGCTCGGCCGCCGTGAGCGTCTGAGTATGGGGGATGCTTCGCATAGCGAGATGCACCATAGGACAGGTACGCCAGGCCGGGTATAGGCCCGATGACTGGTCGGCGGCGTCTTCGAAGACCTTGCCACCTAAGAGAAGTAGGATGAGGTTTAAGGTGCCCTCCCCGGGTAGCCCGCTTATAGTTTCGATAGTGCTGCGGATGCGAATAGGGTCCGCGACGGACTTATTATCTAGCATGCGAGACGGTGCTAGCAGCGTCTGGCCGGGGAAGAGGCCTTCGCCTAACTCGGCGTCGTAAAAGGGCTAATAATTACTATAATTAGTAAAATTATTAGCTATAACGTTAAGTAGGTCCTAGAACGGAGCTAGTTTCTCGCGTATAGGGCTATATATTCGGTTTGCCCTATCTACCGCTTCGCTAATTATATATAGTTTATAGAAGTAATAGCTATACTACTAAACTATATATCTAGCGTATCTAGCCTCGTTAAGGGATAGCAGAGACTATAATATAATAGACGCAATATCTAGGATATATATACCGTTTACGGACCCCTCCTTTAGGGTTATTATAAGCTTATAAACCGTTACCTACTTATCGTTAGGGCAAGCCTTAATCTTAGTGCTAAGTATAATGCCGTAGCTAGGACTACCGCCGCGTAGGGACTTAAAGAGATCGGAATTCTCGTAGTAGTTAGCGATAACGACGCTACCGTTGGCGAGCATGACCTCGGCCTCGAGCAGCTAATCGGTACCGAGGCCGTAGGTCCGTGCCGCCGGTCCATGACCACCACCGGACAGCCAGCCGCTATTAGCGCCGACGGCAGCATAGCCACCGTTTACGACGACGACGTTGCTCTCCTTAGCCACTTCGTTAATATTACCCTACTAGTATATGCTATTAATATAGATAGCCTTACTAGTCTATCTTAACCGGGTGCACTAGGTAGCTAATACGAAACTATCCTAAAACTTAATGCCGTTGCGGAGGTTGCGTACCTAGATTGCTAGGCTTCTAAAGCTATCGGCGCGTCCGATTAGATCGTGCCCCGTGTTAGCAACGGTGAGTCGAAGGTTGTTATCTTACGAAAACTTAAGAGTCGCGTGGATATGCTGGCGGTCTATTACGTTGACGGCGTATTCAGGGAGCTTCCCCAGCGTGCAGGTCCCAATAGTCTAGTTTGCAATGCGAGGTAGGCAAGCCATGTTAAACGGATAGTATCTACTTAGAGGCTATGCTATTTCGAAGGTTTTATTTATCTATATTGCGTTAACGTCTTAATATCGCTCGGCATTAAAGGTGTCGCCGTAACAAGACTATACGAGAGGAACAGACTTAATAAGTTTACCGCCAACCGTGGCGTTAAAGGCGGCCTATATCGAGTCCGATAGCTAACACGATTGTCCGGGAATCTAAAGGGGTATTAGCAGCTAGCCGACGCTCATGGCCACAGCAACGACGAATATTCTCACACATCTGCAGTTAGCAGGCGGCGGGGTCGTCGACCCGTTTGCGTTCTAGGCTTCAGCTGGCCCAGCAAGGATGGCCAAGGCCAGCGCACCGAGTGTTTGGCTCCGCATAGCGGCGGCTTAACGAAAGGAGTGGCGGTTGTGAGAGTTTCTTCGCACGTAAAGAGTAGACGTCACGACCTAGATGTTAATAGCAAGTTTAATTTACAATCCCACGACTTGCTTTCTATACTTTATATAATAGTAAGTTATCTATGCCGACGTTTAGACGGCCAGGGCCTGCTTTCTAGTAAGTTATATGCATAACGTTAAAGACGCTCTTCCCTACTAAAGCCCAGGATTAGTATAAGGAGTTCCCTAGTAGCGTAAATTATGCTCTTAAGGTTATTTTATATACCGTATTATATCTTATAGCGAAAACACTTATTAATACTAGTTCCCCCTAGCGAGCGGTTCTAATACTTACCTTAACTATAGGCATGCGGCGTAAGACTCCTTTCGCCTATTACCCTAACTTTATTTTTTAGTAGTTTGCATTTATAGACTTTAGACTTAACGGTTAGATTTATAGGAGGTCTATATATTAATAGACCTATTAGATAGTTACGGCCTACACCTAGCACGACAGCGGCTATGCAAAGCGACCTAAATAGCATTAGTTAATTAATAAGAACTATCTAAAGAATAAGAAGTAAGTAAATAAGCTATATAGAATTATGCAGCTCTTTATATATAAATGAAAGGCTTATTACCTGCCTATATATTAGCTGTTGCCTAGCAGGCAACAGCGGTTGCGTAGTAATATCGCTACTTTATAAGTAATTATCCTAGGCAGGCTTAATAAGACCCCTATTTAGGGAAGGGACGGCTTGCTTTAATAGAGGATATATAGGGAGCAGACTATACTAGAATAGGAAGGTCTGCTAGAGACGTAGAAGTAGGCTTTTATAGGTAGGTTATATCGAAAGAAGAACCTAGCTTAATTATTATCTCTTAAGACTATAGTACCTTATCTCTTATATAACTTTAAGGGACTAATATATTTATTCTTATATATACGTGCGTACTTAAAGGGTCTCGAGTTCTAGACTATAATAAGTAAGAGCAGTATAAAGCTTAGCTCTACGATAGCATAACCGGCTCGCGTGCTCTGCCCCCTCTCGACTAGGCACGTTATATATAGTCTCGAGTATCTAGTCTAGGGAAGCTAGTTTAGCTTAGCCTTCTAGGCACGTATAATTTTTAAGGGCCTAAGCCTAATATTAAGTTATTATTATTAAAGCTATATACGCCTTTCTCTTATATTGCCGACGGCCACGCTAAGCAGCGTTTATAAGACGTCGGCTTTTATTAATCCGACTAGCTTTTACCAAGCTAGGCGGCCGGCATAAACCCAGTAATTATCTTCTCACCTGACTCTAGCCCTGCCTCGTTAGCGAGTCATTAGCTAGTTTAGAATAGGTTAGGGTCGGATGCGATCATATAGATCAGTGCGTCGTGTCTTGCCAATCGGCTAAAAGAGGCTAGTAGCCCTAAACTATATATCCTTATACCCGCGGACCCTCTCTTTTAGGAAGGACAGCATAATCTGCATACTTATTCTTAATGCAAAGAAAGACCTAATATGTTGGATCCACCTGTGCACTAGGCACCGATCGCGCACGTATAACTAATCGACCGCGCTAGTCACGTGCGAGTAAGAGGTGAGACACAGGGAGGAAGGTCTTTGCACACAGTTTGTATGGGACACGTTTCCCTAGTTACACAAGATATAACCAATTGAACCAGTTCGAATAACCTCACTGCAGTGAAGAGCCTGTCCACACTGATCAGTGTCGCCCGGCAAAGGTGACACAGAACAGCAAGACGGAAGAGAGCTAACCTATCGTCACGCTCTGCAAAGCGAGCTCCTGACGGTAGGATAGTTGCTACAACGCGCGGATTGCTACGAAGACTCTGCATCAGAGCCCACTCTAGTTATCCAACCGTGCCTAAGCTTTGCTGTCATCAGCGACCCTTAGGCGTGCCCTATCGCACATTGATAACCTCATTGACACCCTGTGCCCTGTTTCTCAGCACACAGCCTGTCAATATGTCTGACAATTCATCTGCCGCACTAGCCCCGGCAACAGCCCAGGATACCCCGGCCAACGTGTCTCTCGAAGACAGGCAACTCGTTGAACGGAACCTGACGATCGTGGAGCTCCTTCACTCCCGATCAGGCATTTCGACGCGGATTTCCTCAACGAACCTATCACCCAGAGCTCCTCCCTTGTCCACCGCAACAGCTTCTTCTTAGGCTGTGTGGCAACATACACGGTGGATAAACGTAACCACGGAATTGCCCTGCTTGGGGATCTGTATAACGACTTCACGGGATGGAGCTATGATGACTTCGAACTAATCAACCCACGCCTTAGATCAAGACTCCGGACGCTTCTCAGAATTAGGGATCTATATGGGCAAGGCCAACTCTAGCATCTCTCGAGCTTTATGTGGCCTTCTAACAAGTAACGAACTTCCTGAATGGGATGAGAACGAGTTGCTTGGTCAAGAGGTTGCTGAAAACACCGTGGCATATAAGGTGAAACAGAAGCTGCTCCAAGGAACTGTTAAAGCGGCTATATCGTCACCGGCACCGGTAGTAATCCAGCAGCCAACTATTACCCGACCGGCGGAACCGGAATCCCTCAGATCATTGAGACCCATCAACCCGCTCAGCAAGAGCCTCAGCATCAATGGCGCGAATCCTCGGTATCAGCAGACGCTCCCGTACGGACTACCAACTTCCGAGATGCATACACGAGCATTCCACCTGTTCGATTCGAGAACGAGGAAGTTGAGGCCGATCTCACGATTAGATTCATTAAGATATGGGACAAGAAACTAGCCTATACCGGCGAACCATACGATATCTTCGATGACAAGATCCGGAAATTCATGAGCGTGTGCCGTCAAGCAAACATTCCTCCGTCTAAATTCCATGGTGTTTTCCCTTCGATTCTAGGAAGCTCAGTCCTTCTTTCTACACGAAATCAGCACTGATTTAACCTTCGCTGAGATGTATCAGAAGATGAAAGAGCACTTTGACACCGAAATCAACCAGAAGATGTATCATACCCACTGAGCACCTCACCTTCAGCCGACTTCGGGCTGAGATGCCCGGTAAGTCATCTGACGAGGTCCTCCAGGCCCTTCTTACGAAATTGCGGCTCTGTAGGAGAGCACTCGGGGATAAGTCTGGCGGCGAAGGTGGCCTGATCGATGCAACGCTCAGGGCGTGCCGTGGTGTGCCTGAATTCCGACTCGCGATATACTCTCCCGCACCTACATTTGAGGGATTGGCATCACAGCTTCGATCATCGCTATCTGCCATGCAAGATGAACGATCTGAACAACCCAGTGGCCAATATCCCCAAGACCTGGATAGAGGACATGATCAGCACTTCGTGGATCGCAAATTTCAGCGAAATTCCGGCGGAACAAGAGGTCAATCACAAAGGCGTCAGCCAAATTGGAAGAAGAAATGCTACGTTTGCGGCAAGGAAGGTTGTTTCTCAACGAGACATCCTGAAAACGAGAGAAAAGCAGCCAAAGAGAAGTATCTACGAGAGAGGCTTCCACGGTCAATCTCGTTCGTATGCTATGTTCTTGGCTGACTATGAAGGGGAATCACAGGATCAGGATGACTCGAGCACCGAGGAATCCGATGATTCTGACTCCTCTGACCCTTATGAATCGTTCTACGCTGCTGCGACCTTTCTGTC